ATTGTTTGAGTAGTTTTGAAAATAGGGTAAATCTAGTACTGGAAAGCACTAAGCTTTGTCACACAGTCAAGGATCTTTCATTGCTTATAAGAAAATTTAAAGTTCTTTAAAAAGTTGGGATTTTTTTTGTTGTTTGTTTGTTTTTCCCAAATCAAGGAACACTTACATTAGTGGAAAAATTAGGAACATGATATTTGCACCTCTGCTGAAGAAGCTGTACGGCTAGGAAATGCCTGCAAGGGTGTAAGGGCAGCAGAAGCACAAAGAGAGTGCAGCTGTGATTCCTCTTGAATATTGAATAAGAATTTAAAAATATTCATGCTTTAAATCACAGTTTTCTATTACATAAAGTAAAATTCTGGGGCCAAAAAGAATGTGAATAAAATCTTGACAACCTTTGATAAAAACAAGGCTCAAAGCTCTTCCTTGGCCACCTTACTTCCACTGTATTTGAAAAATCTCTAGAAATGACTGTTGGGATCAAAATTAAATCACACTGGGCTCTGTGCAAAACCAATACAGACATAGTATCTGCCCTAAGGAGTTTATGGATTATTTCAGGGCTTGATGCCAGGAGACGGTGTAGCAAGTAGTAAGAACAAGGAAGAGGTAGTAGTTCTAGGAACCTGTGATTATCCTGTCTTGCTAGATAAACACTCTGCTCAGTATCAGCATCATTCAGTGAGGTTAAGATGCAGACAAAAATACCAGTGCATTTGGTTAATGGCTAGTCATTTTCTTGTGATAGGCCTGGTGAATTTATGAGATAGAGCTACTGTCAGCTCTATTTCTCAGATTTTGTTATAGTCACTTTTGGGCAGGAGTTTTTGGGCCTCAGCTTGCTAACTCCTTGTTTATCATCTGGTTTTTATATATCTGCTCCTACAGAGGAGCAGTGCTGACATACGTATTTAGAACTTGTATTTCCAAAAGAATATTTTCATAAAACATAATGGTTGGGGATTTTCTTCTTCTCTTGCATTTCTGATAAGATGAGAAAAACTTTCCCCATGCGAGCATTTCAGTCAGTGGGAGTCAACTAATAAACAAGTATACAGTGTACCTGAAATAGATAAACCAATTTTCAGGGTACAGAATGCTGTGTTCTTTAGTTGCTTTCACTAACTCCCCTTTTTTTTGGCTCATCTGGGGAAGGAGGCAGACTGCTGACAGATCATGAGCCAGATCAGGAAGACATTCTCTCTACAGGGCATCCTGAGGTACATTCTCAGAGCTCATAGAAACTGAATGCCTGTTTTATTGCCCTGGCCAGGCACGAGTGGTTTGTTATAAGAGGATCCCTTAAAGAGAGGTCACAAATTCTGTGTGGAAGTGCATAGGATGCTACAATAGAGCTGTGCTGTGAGCACAGGAATGTTATCAGATCAGATAGGATTCAGTGGTCCAGGTCCATGCACTTAGCTCTTGGTGCAGCACTTCATGTTTGACAGCAGCTGGTGGGATGTGCAAGAAACACATTAATTTACAGTTAGAGAATAACCTGCCCATAGGGGACGTTGCTTTCTCAGCTCAGGCAATTAGTGGTTTTCTTTTGCCTTCTAGCAGGAGTTTGCATACTTTGTCTTTAGTGAGCAAGCAGTTCACTTTGCTGAATAAGAGCTTTCATGTGGCTATGGGAAACTTTGTGACCATGCTGTGCTCCTACTTTCAGAGCTGCTCCGTGCTGCTCATAGGTACAGTTAAAATGGAAAAGGGCAAGCTGAGAAAGCTCAAAACAGAAAGGTAAGATGCATTTTAGTGAAACATAAACAGCAAAATATGTATGATTTACCTTTTTTTTTTGTTTTGTTTTGTTTTTTTTAACTGCCTTTTAACCATTTAGGCCAAAATGTTCTTCTTATTGTTGATGTAGGGATTTTAGTCTAGTCTATGACAATAATCAGTAAATGAGACTAATGCCTTCCATACCTAACTCACTTCTCATCAGATGTCTCACTGAAATATACATCTCAAACCCACCTACTTCCACAAACTTAGTATAGTTTGGCAAAAGGGGTGTTACATCACTCCTTTGAGAAAACATAAACAGGGCTAAATATCTCATTAATATGAGGACTTTCCTGAAATTTAGAATAAATATTCAAATTTTTTTGTTTATTTTTTAGACTCTCAGGTTGTTTGCAATCTATTTCTTGATGTACCTTGTACTTTTACTATCTGAATACTTCAAATCTCTGTTTACAGTCATCAAATGGCCTTTGAATTCCACAGCTGCAGTCTAGTTACTGGACCTAGATTTTCAGTCTGATTTTAATTTTCATTAAAATTTATAGCTACCTCACTATTATTGCAAGATCATGTAGAAAATGCATTTTCTCTTTGTCCACATAATTAAAGAGGTAATATCTGTTGAATGGTTTTGGGGGACAGTGGCAAATGCAGAGTTAAACAAATGACTAATTTATGTTGAACTGAACATTCAGTGTTGATGGATCCTTAATCTCTAAACAGATGGTTTACCACAGTCCCATTGTAGTTCAGAAGTACCTCTTGCATGAGAAAATGCAGTCATGCAGAAACCGTACAAACACTATTGACTTGCCCACTACTTGCTGCTGCTCCTTTTCACTCTCTTCCTCCTCCTTTTATTTTTTTTAAACAGAATTCAATGTTAGTTTAACTTTCATGCCCATCATGCCTTTTGGCCATTTTACCTAGGGTTTCTGTTTTGCTTCTAAATTAAATTAATATGATGGATATGATGGACTCAAAGGCCTTCAGTATGAACTGATTATGAACTCATTTTCAAATTTGACTTTTTGTTATTATCAGAGGACACTTCTTTTACTTCATGTAACTTCTCAAGTCATGGCATTTCAAATTCCTGAAGTCCTGTAATACTATAATTTGTG